GGCGCCCCCCCCCGCCGCAGAGCAGCCGACAGTCTGTAAACTCACCGACATACGGAGCAGAGACGACAGAGTGTCGTAAAAGTGAAGATGACTGTGATGACTTTACAAGTGCAAATTAGACCCTGGTTAAGTGAAGCAGGGAGTTAGAGCAAGTTAAAGCAGGGGGAGGGGGGGCAGTTATGGAAACAGCGACGGCTAATTAAACGCTGCTTTGTTTAGGATGAGAAACACATTTGCACGTTAGATTTTTTCCACTGAGAAAATTAAGTTCCTTCTTTTTATGTGTGTGTGTGTGTGTGTGAAGTTCAAATGTACACAAGATACCGCTAGATCAACATGAGGCCCACAAATGTGGCCAGAGGAGCAGCGCGCTGTTAAAACTATACCAGTGTAATTAAACTCACAAATCTCTCTCTCTCTGTGTGTCGTCTTCTCCCCGTCCCACTAAAACTCTCTCTCTCTCTCTCTCACACACACACACACACACTTTCAACTTTTCTCTGTCTCTCCTAGACTTGTGTTTGATGAGTTACATAAATACCATCCCAATGGAAAAAGCACGTCATGGTACAGACATGGTACAGACTCCTGTCTTTGAAGAAAAAAAACACACACACATTTTCTCTCTCTCTCTCTCTCTCTCTCTCTATCTGTCTGTCTATCTATCTATCTATCGTGTTTTATAAGCCCATGGGTCTACAGTCTCTGGCTCCTGCTCTACATGCAGCTCCTTTTCAGTTGACCAAATTAAAAAACCATGTCTGTACCATGACCCAGACCAGCTTGCTTGCTAACAGCAAACCAACATCCTTCCACTGTCCTTGGTGGAAAAATAGAAACTGTTACTAGCGTAGTGTAAATGTTTTGTTGTGTCTTTCTATTTATTACTAAAATGATTTAAAAAAAAAAAAGAATCTTCTTGATCTAAAGGTTTCCGACCCTTCAACTATCACAGATCTGATATCTGACGCCAAAACAAAACCACCAAGTAATCTTAAACAAAAAATCTTAAAAAAAAAAACAATCAGAGGAGATGGGAGGAGTTGGAAAGACGACAAAAAAGAGAACATTTTTACTAAAATGTTCTCTTCAAAAACCGCTGACCTTTGAGATTCTTTCTGACCGTCTGACTGAGGATTCATCCTGTGAGTCCCATACAATCAATGAGTAAACAAACAAACAAACAGCCCATCGATCTCCACATCGTCTGAAGGTTACTGTGATCTTCACTGATCGCTCACTCACAGCCACGAGAGTCGATGGACAAACAGACAGATTCACTCACAGATTCATGGCTAATCCAACAGAAGACGGCGTTTGGTTCAGAATCTAAAACCAGTGACATCATGTCCTTAAATGGTAAAGACGTGTGGTGTTTGTGGGCTCATGAACGCTGAGAGTCATACAAACCTGTACGTGGTCTCTCCCTGCTCTTTCCTTCAGAGGTTAGTGGAGAAAAAAAAGGAGGAGACAAAGGAGGAGAAATCAGTTTTTCAGCAGAGTCAAACAGCTTTTTACAGACATTTCCACTAATGGAGATGAGAGGTGTCAGGCCAAGGAGAAGCAAGAAGAGAATGAAAAAAAAAACACTCTTACTGTAGATGAAGAAGAGAGAAAAAAAAAACCTCTCAGTTTTTTTAAGTACATGCAAGTCATGGCCATGCAGAGAAGAGCTGAGAGCAAATGTGGAGGCAGGAGAGGTGAAGGATCTGACACCAATCTGTGTGAGTGTGAGTTCATCTGAAAGATACATGGTGTTGATGGAAATATAGAATATTTGTCCTTGATGTCCTAAGGTGACGCTAAACATTAAAAATAGAAGAAAAAACCCTCCATTTATCAATTAAATTAATTACACATTGGACCAGGAAAACCTAAGCATTAGGAAAAAAAGGTAAAAAAACTTTAGCCCAGAGTTGATTAAACGTAAGGCAAAAAAGTTGTTGAGGAAAAACCAAAATTCATGAAAAAGAGCTTTAAAGTGTAAAACAATTAAATAAAAAAAAAATTAAATTAAAAAAAAAGATTAGATTAGAAAATATCATGAGGGAAATCTGCAAAAAGTTAAGTTGAACAAATATTTAAAAAGTTGAAAAATTTGTTTTTTAAATAATCTCAAAATAATAATAGAGTAGAAAATTGTGGCCTAAAATTATTTTAGTTTACAAAAACTGTTTTTTCAGCAGGTATTAAAAATATAAAATGTTTCTGAATATGTTATACCATAACCAGGAGTGAGTGGTTGACTTTGTCTTAGATCATGCAAACTCAGGAAGGCATTTGTCCGTAGTGAGGGCAAAGAGGGAACTCATCTCCATGACACCGGGTTACATGATGAAACAATAACATCAGAGAAGTGAAGCTCGGCTGATGAGGTCAAGCAGACACCAGAGGAGGCGAGGAGGTGAGGAGGAGCAGAGAGGCTGAGCAGCGGCGGCGGCCATATTGGTAAGTCTGTAAGTTGTTACCTACTTGGCGGGGCTGCAGGTATGCATTGCCTTCAAATGAGGCTTCCAGGTAGCAATGGAAACCGAGTTCTCATCAGCAGCATAACTACGCCAGACACACTACATGCAGAGTCCAGAGGATAAATCAAATAAAAGCACAATCAATTCACGGGGGTCAATGATCAGAGAAGAAGAGGGAAGGACGGGTAACGAGGGGAAGGAGGGAGGACGAGAGGAAGGAAGTGAGCAGGAAGGAAGAAGGAGGAAACAGCTGGTTAGTGTTCTCTGGGAGGAGTCTAGTCACGGTGATTGGAGAGAGGGGGAGAGGGGGTGAGGGTGGGTCAGTGATGGAGGTGCTGATGGTGGAGGTGATGGTGCTCATGGTGGAGGTGGTGTTGGGGATACATGCCTGAGGGGGGGAAGGGCGCTGTGGTAGTGGTGCCAGGTGGCTCTGAGGTAGGGACGAGCGCCGTCCGTGGAGTACAGACGCCAAGCTGCCTGGGTGAGGGAGGAGGAAGAGACACAAACGCATTCACATGTATACACAAACACCGAACACACACACACACACACACACACATGAAGGTGTGTATACATAAGAACTGGGCGGAGCTACCTCCACTGCAGGCTGCGACTTGAAAAGTTGTTTTGATTGGGCGGAGCTACCTCCACTGCAGGCTGCCACTTGAAAAGTTGTTTTGATACATGACGGAGCTGACGATCAATAAAAGGATGTTCACAACTGATTGAATTAATTGTAAATTTTTTAAAATTGTTTTACAGTAAATGTTCCTTTAAAAAAAGAAACATCTTCAAGGTTTTAATCCTTAAAGTATTGTCAAAAATATAGCCGTATAATCTGTGACAGAAGAGCATTTGTTTTGTTTTGTTTTTTTAGATTCACTCATGTATTTGTATCATGGTACTGCAGTAGTAACTGGGCAGTAACTACCAAAAGTACTAGATTACCTCCATATCATAACCACAGCTGTCCTTAATGAGTTCTAATCCCAAATGGACCGAAAGACGGGGGAGAAAATAAATCCTAAAATGAGCCGATTTACACGTGCAGATTTTCCGTAGCCTCACTCTTGCAGCAGAGTTGCCCCAACCAGTTTATATATATACAGATGGAGACATGAGGGGGGGCCGGGGAGGGGGGGGGGCACATGGTGAGGAAAGATGGGCCGTGAGTGTAGGACGGTACAGGAGATGGAACCAGCTGGCAGCCATGTTAGCGCTCCTCAGTGTAGATGAACAGAGCAGCTAAGAACAGACGTTAAGGTTCCGTCTGTGGATGGTCTGTATCCTAGTTACGACCACAGACTGTGAGACGTCGCAGAACTTAAAGTTTGGAAGATACAAGGCATCTGAAAACCTGTCAATCTTCCAGACCGGGACAGCTGTTGGCTTGGCTATGATCGGTCGTGGATTTTCGCGATAGCTATGACGTTCAGGGCTGGACCATAGTTGTTAGCAACGACGGCTTGGTCTCATTGTACGTTAGCTGCTATTAACAGGCTAAAACGATACACAGGAAGTCCTCGATCTATGACGTTCTCGACCTACAGCGTCACCATCCCATAAATCTCTAAATTGAAAAGTTTTTTTCAATCGTTCCTAGTTGGCGAGGGAGATGGTTTTGTTTACATTCGGTGGTTGTACATCACCGTTTGTTATGGCTCCCAGGCGTAAGTCCGACTGTCTTACTGTAGGTTAGTGACAAAGATACTTCAGTCCAGTACGTGAGTTCCGGCAAAAATCGAGGTTAAAAATCGTAGGGACAGAATTTTGTCGTAAGTCGAGGACCCGCCCGTATTTAATTTGATCTGAGCAGAAGGCTAATGATCGGACGAACACGTTTTCCAAATATGTTTCTGAAACGAGAGTCTGGCTGAAAGAGTGAAAGAGTGAAGTGAATCATCCACGATGATGGAAGGTGGGGGGGTGGGTTGGGGGGGTGGCAGGGTTTAAAGTGAAGAGTTCAATTTGTTTTTGTACAGACAGGAAGTCACCAGTGTCAGAGCTTTTTGTCAGGCCATTTGACAATTTCACCTGGACTTTTGGTGGAGGAAAGTGGCCCTGAAGCTGGTTAACGTTGACCTGCTTTTTATAGACAGTGGTGAAAGCCTGACACACAGACAAGGACACACAGACAAGGACACACAGCACAGACAAG